ATCTACTTTCCCTTAGTTTGCTCAAAAGCAATTTGTGCTAGCTTTCAAGCTCCCATGGCCGGATTGCCGAGAAGCGGCATGTAACATCCGAGCAAATGATAATTGACTACTAACGAACTCAAGCCACCCACTTGCAAAGTGGGGACCAATCGTGTTGAAAACTGTTGATTATTTCAACTACTTTCTTTGCCTTCCTAAATCCCTATATGTAACTGGTTACATATATATTCCGTTTTAATGGTCTGCTTAAGATGCACTGAAAACGAGCCTGTCTGCCACTTTTGAGTTCTAAGAATGTAAATATTCCAAGACTAACAATGTAAGTAATAGCTCGTTCTGTTCTTCAAAAAACGCAAACAAAAACAATCAAAAGTCTGAAAAAAATATGAAACCAATTTAGGGCTGTACGAAAATACAAGCATTAAGCAATATACTCGGAATAACTATCGCTCCGGTAATCACTGCTCGAACGGAAATTCAATAAATGCTTGTGCAATCACTTCAAAAAGTTTAGTTCTGATATAATTGCCGTCTGTCCACATTTGGTCTTGCCATATTTGTCAGGTATGCTCGTCCAATGTGTGCAGTTGTATTACACTGAAGATTTACCCCGGTCATCACTGATAGCAACATTGTTGATCAGCGGCGGCCATGGTGACAAGTGATGAAATGACTAGATGACTGGAGTTCAACCTGTCAGCTGTATTGCATCTATCTGTCTTTCATTTCAGAACTACAAACTTTCTTTGCCCCGATATTCTACCTGGGACACATCGCACCCGCTTCCCGAGGAACACGAAGACGAGGCAGAGGATGACGAGGAAGATGAGGATGCAGAGGAATTGCCACCCCCACCGCGTAAAAATATGGTCTACTTCAATGTGGATTGATCTACCCTCTGCCCCGCCGCGACCACCTGTGGTCTATTTTCATCTCTAGCTCAAATAAGTAAAAAAACATCACAAAATACAAAGCTATTTCAGTCATCCTTCACTGATTGACTAATTTTGACGCCNTGGTCATTCAGATCACTGGTTAAACAGAACTCCCTGGTATGTTGATTCATCCTAACCCCAGGTACACACAGTAATTTTGGTTTTAAGTACAATGTATACTTTCAGACTCATTCACTCATTCACCCGATTCCCTCGCTCACTCTTTCTACGTATCTCTCTGATCTCCAACGTGATCAGCAATTTGATAACTTCACGATTCTCAAAAGATACCTGGAGCGACCAATTTGACACACACACACACACATACTTCACTCTGTGTGATCAACTTTATCCACTGTTATGTGTATAATAAAATAATTTCAACATGACCAACTTGTACGGCACTTGTACTTATTTCAAAACTGACAAGCATGTGTGCTTGGATTGCATGCGGCGATTTCCAAGCGCGAATGCAAACAATCGAGGTAAATGTGAAATCGGAACATACAGTTTCGTCGGAGGTTATGTAGTAGTTGAAGTAGACACGGATCACGAATCACGGACGCAACTGGAACGCCAAATCGTACTCGCACTTGCGATCTGGTATCTCACAAAACCGAGACACAAGGAAAATGCCACAAAAATAGCAGTTCGCTTATTGAAAGAAATCAAGGGGATTAAATAACATATTAAAAATAAGTTTGTTGGTTATCCAGGTATCCGCCAATCGTCTGCTGGTATTCTTAACGTCATACAGCCTCTGACTGAACCGCACGACTTCTGATTGGCCGACACAATTGGCATATGGTCCAGAAACCAAAACACGTAGGCGCATGCCTGGAGTCATCTGGGCGGGTTTACTCCCCTTAGCTGTCCAGAAACTGTAACGAGTCGCTCCGTGGCTGCTGTTATTCCGTTGGCTAGGGTTATCACAGGTTATCGGAAGCAAGCAAACAATCGCAGTCGTCTTTGACCATGATTACTTGTAGTCCGGCGACCCCGACAGAGAAAATTGGCCCTGGAAACGATTTTGTTTTCAAAATCCGCCATGGATTTGTGTTCAGTTAAAAAAATGTGTGACTTGTTTTACCTTCTTTCTATTACACTGGATTCAATCGTCCCACATTGAACAGAAGAATCGGTAAAGTCCATCGTCAGTGATGGAACCCGGCAAACCACGTCTCGTAACTTAGTGTGATGAGCTTCAATCGACTGCAATAAGATATGTGTAAGGCATTATTGAATCGGAAGATAATGAGGCTGTCGTTTAGAATCATATGCTTTCGGGGAACGCTTGGCAAAAGTTTGGATGAAATACATTTGAATCAATACACCTAATTGTATTACGTACCAGCTCTGACAAGCATGCGAAAATTTATTCAGTCAACCCGGTCTCTGAGAGTTTCTCGCTAACCGAAACCTCCAGATTGGCCAATTCTTCTTTTTACGATGACGGCATAACTCGTTACCTTTGAGAAAACTGAAAATTTGTAATTATGATCCTCCTAAGCAAACTCATCCCAGAAAATCCATCCCTTATGGTGCACAATGCTATTAACCATACTCCAGTTGCATTTTTTAAAGTGTACTCTGTAGTTCGCATAAGTTAGATATGACAGTAGATGTTGTCAGATGACTCCCAGCCATACAGTATGAAATATTCACGTCCAGCACGGTAAACGAACAGTCATCACCAAGGTCAAATATCACGTTGGATTTCATGAACTTTTCATTTGTCACAACAGATTAATCTACGGCAGTTCAACGTTATCCGAGCGTGAACAACGAAAGAAAATCCAAAAGAAAGTTCTGGACATTCATTTTGACAATCAGAAATCACCGATCGTTGATGGTAACATTTTGGGCCGGCAAACATCGATCGAGTTCATAACTCCAAGAACAAGTGGATTGCTGTGCATTCCATCCCTCACCCCACCCCACCCCACTCCTCCCTACACTCTAGGGGAATCAGTGTGCGTCGTTCTGTAACAGTTATCCCCGCCCGGTATTGGCTTCCTGTATCAACCGCGTTTACTAGGGTGTCCCCGGAACATCTCATTGCTACTTGCGTTGCTGTCAGTGCATAGGTGCACGCACGCACACACACACACACACACACACACACGGATTGGGTGTGGGTGCGTGCACGCATGTGAACAAGAGCAAAAATCCACACTAATCATTTGTAATTTTTAAATATTTCTTGTGACTGATTGCAGTACAGAAACTGAGTATTCGACTTGGATTGGTTGCGAATCTGAATGGTTGATCTAAAAGAACTCTGGATGCATCAGTAAGGCTGACCTCACTCTAGCTTCTGTCTGCTACAGTGAAACATCCAGACAATGGGTTAGTTAATCGATCGTCCGGATATGAATCCGGATTCAAATGTCTGAGGTTTATGCTTATGAAATCGAATTCCATGCCGTTCGTGAAGTGATGAAAGTTATTCTTGTGCGGTTCAGACAATCAAGAACCTCAGTGTACACATGCATAAGCAAGTGGTTGATGTTTTTGTCACTGTTCTGATGTATGTGACATTTACCTGCACTCAGATTATGCAGTAGTTGCAATCTGAGTAGTAGTAGTAGTACGCAATGAACGAGGAATACGGATCGTGGAAAACGAATCACTGATTAGCAATCACGGAAGTCACGTAAGAACTGGATTACACTGACACTTGCACGCAATATCCCACGTAACCGAGACGCGAGGAAAAGGCCACAGGAGTAGTAGTTCGTTTATTACAGGAAGTAAGGGTGATTAAATAATACGTGCAAAACAAGCTCATTGGTCATCCGGGCCTCTACCAATCGCGTTCTTAGTATTTCTGCCATTGTTCAGCCTCTATCTGGGCCGCACGGTTTTGATTGGCTAGTGCAATCGACTTATGGTATGTACTCCAGAATTTGTGGCAGGCAAACGCGCTTTGCTGACGTCACCCGTGAAGCTTGATTGATCACAGTTGTCCTAAAACTGTACGTGTCGCTCCAGGGTATGCGTCATCTCGCAGGCTGGGATCACCACACACTGACGGTATTTTGCACCTTCAGGTATGCATATTCTGCAATAATTTTTTCTACAAAAGACAAATTCGTTTGATTTTGTTTTTAGGGTAATAAACTCTATCGACATTATGCCAAATTTACTCAACCTGAAGCGTCTGGTTCGTTAGAAATTGTTGAAAAAATGGGGTGCTAGGTAGTGAACTTTACGGTATGGAATTATTTCATTGCAGCACGATTATGCAATTTGAAATCGGGCTGATCGATTGCACTTGGCTGTGATGTCTTGTACACACGTTGTACCTGGAGGCTTTGATACATCAACCTCCCCCCCCCAGCCCGCCCCCCGCCCCNAATTCAAACAAAACAACTGAAATTCTCGCTGACTTTTATATTGTCGCCCCATCCCCTCGTCTATTGTAACGACCTTGGCAACTTGTCATTCCGTTTGAGTGTGAGTCGTGTTCATGTCTCACAGGAACTTTTGATTCATTGTCTGCATTTTCCTCTCCTCTTTCGCCCTCTACACGGAGAACATCCTGTCTGTCGACGGTTGCAGCCCACACTTAGACTAGACCCACTTGCGGTTGTCGGGTATGTATCCGTTCACGGGGGACTGCCTGACGCACACACGAGCCAAGCATCTCACACTATAGAGCACATTTTTACGGAAAAAACTAAACGTTCCGCATCAAAACCCATGAGAATCGCTCTGCTCTAATCGTAAACTTCTGTGTCCAGCTCTGTGAAAAATATTCATGAGATCAGTTAGCTGACCGGCATTGTCTTGGTCATTGATTCATTAACATTGATTGCACCTCATTAACAAATTATGATCGGCCAAGCACGCATTCGTTTACTTACATGCAATGTTTGCAGATCGTGTATCAATGAATTGGTTTATCGTATCAAGACCGTAAGAAGACACGTCGTGCAATGTGAGCAAGTCCTTTAATCGCTGACTTAAAGCAAACAAACATATTGTAGTACATTGGATTTGTATATCCTAGTCAACGGAAATGTATCGATGGCCAAGGGCTATCAGAATTTTTAAAAAAACAGGTCAACTCCACGCGAAGTGAACTGATTGGTCCACCAACGTTTAGGAGCACAGAACCGAATGATGTGAACAGATTATAAATACCTCACTTATGGCCAACAGTTAGGCACTACCGTTACGTAACAATAATTTCAAATTCAAATTTTTATTACGGGAAAAAACAAAGACTTCGCTTATCAAATCCCATAGGGTGTTTACACTTTGGTTCGGAACACGAATCACAAGACCACAGTTAGTCCATGAAATTAAAATAGTAATGTAATATTTTTGACGAGCACAGGNGAGCACAGGAGAATATATTATGTAGTTGGGTGTTGAAACATAATGTTTGCCAGAATATCATCAAGCTGACGCTTGAAAGATACTAATGTTGGCGCACAGACCACGTGAGGAGGTAGAGAGTTTCATTTGCTGCACACTCTGACTACAAACGAATGGCGCCTGGAATTGAGACGGCTCTTTTGGAGTGCCAAATTCATTGGATGCCCTCTGAGATAAACATCGGTTGATAGAACCAAAAGAGATCTACATGGATGGTGAACTGGTATGCAGTGTGAGACAGAACTGGATGGTCAACCACGTACACTTTTGACCAAATCGATTCCACAGTTAGAAGCAATAAGTCGAAGTTAGACAGCTGGGAAAGTGCGGTTCAGTGCGCACATCGTACAATAGTTGATCGCTCTTAAAAGATAGTTTGATGTAAACGGCCTTCTGGGTAACAGTTAGGGATGATTACCTTACCTGTTCCCCCAGAAAGCCGTTCACATCAAAATATCATCTGAGGTCCCGGGTTCGATCCCAAGTTGGGTCAATAAATTCGCACTGCTGAGAGTAAACCAGGTCCAAACAGCTTCCCAGTCAGCTCACGCCTCATTTACACGACGAAT